TAGGCTTTCCTACAAGAAAAACTGTTGTCGAATGTGTGCACGGAAACATCAAACACGTTCACTTGATAAATGACATTACAGGCGCTTGGTAACGACATCGTTGTGTAACGGATGACCCTTATCTCTGCGATGGACGGCCAAATTGACATTGGTCTCTATATCCACATCGTAAGAGGGGTGGTTTTAATAGAGAAGTAATGGTGTAGGTAGAGCAATTTAAAAACCATTGCTGTGCTTGTCCACTGAATAAGAATAATTTGTGTATTTAAACCATTAATTACCCGATGACCCAGTACATATCATTTAGCTGATTATTTAAATCTAACGTACGCAGTCCTAACAATACCGTCCATTAACTGCATTGTTATAAGCGTTACGTTATTTTACCTAATTTGGAATTATTAAGAGTAAAAAGCTTTCATTTATTTGGCACGCAAAAGCATTTTAATTAAAGGAGAGTGAGCACTAAGTACCTATTCAGCCGCATCAGACGGAAGCCTGCTACGACCGTAAAGGGATTGCTACGCCACCGTAGGCGCCGTAGAAGCAATTGCTACGAAATCCTGTATTAAGCATTTTTATGTTTCAAGCATGCTTGAGCTTTCAAGGTTAAATCCGTAACTTCATTTTGTTTTTTTACGAAGCATATAAAAATATCGTCCCTTTTTTATTTTTTTAATACTACGTCGCTAGATTGAGGTAGTTATAGGATACCTATTTACTAATTCGGAATTAAGAATATGTATTATTTTTATTGTTCACTAGCTTTCCGCCCGCGGCTTCGCCCGCGTGAAAAAAGGGTTGTTTTTAGGGTTTTCCCGCAAATTATTCAAACCGCCAACGTCAAGACTTAAGAACTGGGTCCGTTAGACCCTCTAATCCATATCTGTGGTTAGACCCATTAGCGAGTCCTTAGGTGTTAAATAAACTGTATTACTTAACTACCGATTTCAAAGAAAATGTAATTGTACTCGATGTTACCCGATGCGTACTATTGTACGCATCGTGCCCCATCCCATACCTAAATAATATCGTCAAGGTCCCATTTCTTTTAGATAGAAGCGTGGCCGGGCTGGGCCACAAAAAATGTTCCATATCTGGTGAAATACAGCGGTACATTTTTTATTCTTTTCAGTACAGAAAAGTACGCCACCGTACTACCTACTGACACTGCCACGGCTTTTTTTGGCGCCGTGGCTGGGCCAGGTCGTAACACACCGTGCGGGGAGGGAACCAGACGCAGGTTAGCGTACCATCCCTAGATTGTCGACATTCCACCAGCGTTTTGATCTCTTTTATAATGCGAACAACTGGAATTCAGTGCCTGCTACTGTCTTTCCCGAACATTATAATCCGGGCCTTGTCAAGGCGAGAGGCAGTTACAGAATGTAACACGAGGTGCGATTGCCTTGTTACGCATTAAAAAAAACTATAGGAATCCAGACAAAGGCATCATAACACAGTCTCTCCCGCCAATGCCCGTCTGCATGGCGGGCTCTGCCTATTCCGACGGTGGTGCTGGACCGTGCAATGCTGGCGGGGGTGCCCTCACGCCTTTAGCAAGAAATCTATATTAATCTTCCGTTAAGTAGGTATTAGAATGATCGGCATTGCCGATTAGTCGGCAAGTCGGCAAAGACCATAGTCGGCCCATCACTAGTACCTATGTTTATTATTCGTTATCTGGGCGCATGTCTGCAAGCATAGTAGGACTTTACAAGTTTTGCTTATTTTGCTATTACCGGTTACCGGTCCTGGACTGCCCGCGTCCTGTGACTAATTTTATGTTATAATTTAGTATTTTCTAATAAGTTTCGGAGCTATATTTTTTTATAGTTCCATATTCAGATAAGAACTACCGACAGTTCAACATCGATTTTAAATTCTGATCATCAAAATGACATCAGATGAGTCACTTTCGCATTTAATGACTCTTAAGGTCCCGTGGTAATTATTATAGTATGGTAGTTAAATTTAATTATAATTACCTAGTGATAGTATCTAGTAATAATAAAATTAAAAACCATTAGTTGATAATGATAATAATTGTTATGAGTAAAATAAATAAGAAGTACATTATGATAAACTCATTTATTGCTCTGTAATTTCTTTATATTAAAATAGGTAGGTACTTTAAGACATCAGTACTTAACATTTTACATGTATATTGCTACTTGCTGTACTAGTACTATTTCAAGTGAATATGCAGGAAGATACTTGTTTCAGTTCTGGCGTATTCAACCTTAGTATATTTTGCTATATTAAACAGATAACAATAAACATTCCTTATATTGACAGTACCATGAGGTATAAAAAAAATCTGGCTATTAGTACAATGATAGAGCAGAGACATATTTTAGAGAAAGACAATAATTTAGAAGTTTAATGTTTTTGTGTCAAGTTTATCATGACTTTAATTACTAATGAGAATGAATGCATACATCTTCAATAAAATCATTTAAAATATGACTTGAAACACCTGCCTCATGCATTATCATTACATACTTAAAAAAAAGGAGTAATAATCATAAAATTAAATCTAATAGCACTAATATAATTAACTGTCACAGCCATAATATGGCTGATGTATTATATTATCCACCTTTCTTCCACTTCTCTCCGGGAGTATATTCAGTCATGGGTCTACCGGAAATGCCACATGTGCCAATACCAACTCTGCCTGTCAAATTGTCAGGGGAAGCAAAGATACTTTTATTCCGAACACCTGGTTTTTTTGATGCTTTGGAATGAAATGATAACCATTTGTTTTTTTCACTTTCTCTTTCTTCCTCAATTTGTTTAAACCTCTGTTGCTTTTTCTGCTTCTTTTTCTTCAAATATTCTCTATTGTAGCTTTTGCCATGTCTGTAAGAATATAATAGTAATATAAGAGCAGATATTTAATTGTGAATTCATTGGTATCATTTTATATATATTTTTATAATACAAGCAATTAAGATTAACTGTTCAATTTTATTTCTGGTTTATAATGACTTACTTGCTTTCATCTCCACTCAAAGGTCTTTTCAAACTTGAGTTTAAAGGCTTGACATCATGAATGGAAACTACTTCTAATGTATTGTAGCCATCAAATTTGACTTTCATACTCTCATCATCAATGTCTTCTATCAGTGCTTCATAGAACCTGGAACATTGTAATAAAATGTTAAAATATGCCAGAGTTGTGTAAAATTCAAAATCTTCTTTCTGATGCCCGATGTATGATGTGCTCCACTAAAAAAAGAAACAAATTCATAACTATGTTTATTGTTTCAGTGTTTGGCTTGCATTTACAATAAACTTATTTGAGTATCACATTAGACTTCGAACATAAATGCTTTACACACAACACATCTAACGTAAATATTCATGCAAGCTCCTGGTGGTGTACTGACTATTGTGTCTTTTGAGATAGTCTACAATTTGGTAATATTGTAAGCAATTAACTGGTATGTTACTTACGTGCCATCAGCTCTCCATTTTGCAAGGCATTTCTCGCCAATGCGCCATTTGCTTACGGAACTTTCGGCAGGCTCACCGTCCTCGGCCGCCAGCAGGGAGGCTGTAACATCATCATCATTACTAGAACTATGAATGTTAGACACTTTGGATTCACCGTCTTGAGTTTTTATAAGATCTTGTGTCAACTCAATTACTTCTTCTAAATCTCCTTTCAATTTCAGCAATTCTTCATTTTGCGGATCAGTGAGCAAAGCCGCTTCCACCTAAAAGAAATCAACATGTTAGTGAGTTAAAAGTGCGGATAACAAGTTATATGAAAGAAGTATTAACATAAAAATAACACCATGGATAGTGGCATTATTGAAGATGGTACTAACCTGTTGCAATTGCAATTTATAGTTTCTTAGATCGTCAGCCATGGCTGAGGATTAATAATTGATATTTTAAGCCAATCACACGGCACAGTTCTTAAAATAAAGCGAAATAAATTTATGAAATGGAATCCATGAAATGAATTGATTTCATTTCCAAACCACAACCACAATACAAGTCAAAGACAATGACAGCTGTACTGTCAATATCTATGGTTACTGCAGTGATAGCGTATTGGCTAACTCTATTTTACTTTAGTTGTTAACTATTTTTTTACACTCGTCAGCTGTTGCTGTTAAGATTTCTACGAGCCTTATATGGACGTTTTTTATTAGCTTTAAACGAGATCCTTTGTTTCATTTAGTAATAAAAACTTACATCTTGCTTACAGTAACAAGTTGGCAGTTAGCCTGACCAGGAACATAAAAACCCTCGCCATGTTGCGGAAAACTAATGGTACTAATTTCTTTTAATGGCAACAGTAACTGAAAACTTCATTGACATGTCACCTTGCATGTCAGTCTATTGCTGTCAAAGTGTAAATAAACTTTATTTTAAATGTGCGCAATTGGTTTTATGAATTGAATTGCTAAAATATTTTTATAGTCGTGAAAGAAAAGTGGTTCACAATGTGTTAAAGTATTTGTCGAAGAGAAATACTAAGGGTTCGGACAATATTTTCATTGAATAATGTTTCCGACAAAGGTTGTCAAATTGACTGTATAATACAGTTAAAATTCCTCTATGGTTAACCCTGTCACTTCCGGGTTTGCACACAAGATGGCACCACTGTTCTTTTAATATTTGATTCGTTGCAGTCTCCCGCAAAAAACCGATCCCGTTCTGGCGCAAGTACACTATACGGGAAATTGGCCAAGTGTGAACACCATCTCGGTTACTTTCGCCTCTGTTCTCCTCTCTCCTCGCGTGCGTCGTCCATACTTCAGTGTGCGAGCTAGCGTTTTGACTTGGAGAATTTCATGCATAGTATACTTTGTGTCATTACTGGATCCCGCGAAACTGGATTGCCGTGACGTGTTCTTCTAAAAACCCCGTTCCAAAAGGAACGAATGGAACAAAAAAGTGTTCTAAAAAAGAAAACGGTTCATTTTAAAAGTTTTATTTGTATAAAAATATTATTACTTACAGCTTACAAAGAATCATTAATAAATAGAAATATGAAAGTAAAATTACGTATTATTTAAATAGTTTTCTCTTATCAGGTAGAATTATGATACGCTCACTCTATTAATAACAATTTTTAATTAAGACCAAGCCAGTCTCAAACGGAATTTAAAACTACAAAGTATAATTTATGGAATTTTATATCTATCTATTTTTTTATGATTTGGTCTCGCATGCACTGGAAAAGTGAGCCACAAAACCAGAAGGTAGCTCACGAGTTTATGAGGCCTAAAATATAGAACTTACGACCACATTATTATTTTTAACAAGCCAGTGCAGTGTTCTATTACATTTGAATCAATAGAAATCCTAGAAAGCAGCAGCTGAAATACCTTGCCTTGAAATAAACATTGGCGTTTTTAAGTATAAGGCATATTCATACTTAATTTAATAAAATTATCCTGAAGGCATCTTTTATTTACTGATGATAACACATAATATGTAACGAGTATCTTTCAATGATAGTCCAGCCTAAATTAGTCAAATTTAATTGGTTTATTAATATTATTCTTTTGTTTTTATATTGGAATGTGTCAGTCAGTAATTTTGTTTTATTTTTTAAACTGTGTAACTATATCAGATTGATTAAGACTGGTTCAAAGGGTAGTTGTTTATCAACTAAAGCCAGATAGAAAGTTATTTGTCTATTATAAACGGTCTTATCTAAATTTCATATTTTTAATAAATTTCGTAAGAACTTGAACCTGTGCAAGTGTTACATTATGAACTCAGTCAGTCTTATTAATGTTATTAAAAGCATGAAAATAAAGGCTTTTGTGTAGTGCGTTAGGTATAAGCATTTTGATAGGCTGCTCTATACAGATATGCACAGTGATGTCATTGTAACTTACATGTTTATGTTTTGGAAATGATTATACCGAATCTACCGGGATGTATTGGTCAGCTTGGTTATTAACTCTCAACGTTGACGAGGTGGCTTTGCAGCGTGGACTGGTGGTAGCGTCGCCTTGACGCGAAGTCTTCATTGTCATCGTTCAGCCTTTCTTGTTCCACGCTGATGTCAGCGTGTATCGGCGTCACAACCAACTGCTCGTATTCTAACGGACGCTTTCTGAAAGGAGAAGTATTATGAAGGCTTTAAAAAGTATCTCCGATAAACTTGAAAAAAATTGAATCGGTATTGTCAGGAGCTTATCGTCGACTTATCATAATACTGTCACTAACTTTACAAATATTACGTATCAATGATTAAAGCGTAGATATCACTTAATATGACAAAGAAATAATTTAAATGTGTTGTTCACGTATCTGATAAAGAAAATGTTATCAGAAATACACTTGAAATATGGCTATGTTTAAATTTAAATAAGATACATTTGCTTGATGACTCAGTAACAAATAACCGATTTTCGAGGGTTTTATCTTGGCCCGTAGGTATAGGGTTTACAGCTGCGATTGTGCTTAAATTAAATTCTAAGTAAGTACCGAATGTTATTGTCAAAAACACATTAGTTATGACTATACGAGCAATAAGTGGCTATTTGCTAAGCTTTATTTGCTAACGTGCATATTTGCATAACTCACACTAAGCGTTTCAATAACTCTTTTATTTATTGATTTATTTATTCATGAATAGAACGGTAGTACCAATTGCACTATTCAAACAAGACACAACAAAGTTCAGAAAAACATTTAAGTCCTTATAAACAATTTAACTTAGGAAAAGTACATAAATCAGATGCGATTATTTTCACAGTAACCCAAACATTCTGCTAGTCGTACTCCACCCCTCTGCAAATACGTCACATTTTGGGTTTTGGTCCAGGAAACGAATTTTATAATGCGAACAGCTAGGGACTGAAAGTTGCTGCCTGCTGCTGTCTTTCCCGAACACTATCATCCGGGCCTTTTCAAGGCGAGAGTGTATAAGCACTTACAGGGCATAGTCCAATCAACGAGGCGTTTGTAACCCGAATAATTCGTCCGTCAATGAAACTTGGCACATGGTGAAAGTAGGTAATATAGATCATAGATATGCAAAAATCCAACAAATTTTTTTTTGGGAAGTTATGTTTTTTGACCTAAACATGAAAATCGTTAATAACTCTCTGTGTAAAAATTCTCAGCCTGAAATTCTTTCTGTATACGTACCTATGTACTACTTAGAATATGTATGTAAAAGAATCCAACACTTTTTCGATTTCAGAGATACCTGAAATTTAACTTTTAACATTTTGCACTATAACTTCTACTGAAAAATTGCTCTGCTGATTTTTATTTTTTAATACGCTTTTATATGTTCAAATACATAGCTATTCACAGTAATCCAATAGATTTTCCTTTACTATGTTATAGTTCTTATTTTTACGTAATTACGTCGTGTGAATAATTGCTCCGTCCATTTTTATACATCTATTGGCCATTTGATAATATATTAAAACAGATTTATCAATAATCCAACAAATTTTCGAACGTTAACTATACTTTTAATGATATAATGCACGCGGGCAATGTAGTTCGCGGGCTAAAGTCAGCGATACGCTCTTATTACTACTCCCGTAAGGTTGACATTTCAAGTAACAGAAGGTAGACGCGTATCCATAGCGAGTTTTTTAATTACGTCGTGTGAATAATTGCTCCGTCCATTTTTATACATCTATTGGCCATTTGATAATATATTAAAACAGATTTATCAATAATCCAACAAATTTTCGAACGTTAACTATACTTTTAATGATATAATGCACGCGGGCAATGTAGTTCGCGGGCTAAAGTCAGCGATACGCTCTTATTACTACTCCCGTAAGGTTGACATTTCAAGTAACAGAAGGTAGACGCGTATCCATAGCGAGTTTTTTCACCATACGCCTTAATTTTAAGCAAGTATTTGGTTTAATTATGTACTAACATAGCGATTGTAGTAGGTACCTAGATAATCGACATACCTAAATATTAAACAAGCTTATTTCACGTAATTACGTAAATTCTATTTACACTTATTTACCTCTCTTAAAAATAACACTGGGTGATTAAATTTTATCAAAATTACAAACTAAACATGCATTGTCAAAAGTTACATAAAAACATAAAGTTATTATCATGGACCTATAAAAAAAGTCGGACGGAGTCTCATCAACAAAATACTGTGACATTAGGATACACCAGCTTGCCTGTACGTACAGGCCGGCACGCACACATTCACACCCTGTTACACCACTTCGAGAGCAAACTTCACACAGTTGACACATTTAAGCAGCGAAAAAACAACACGAATACGACATGCCTTGTGTGATGAAATTGTGTAAAAACCGTTCTGTTCGAACAAACAAAAATTAAGGAATCACATTTCACAGGTAAAATAATAATCCAATCACTTATTTCCCGACATTAAAATATTGAAATTAATTGAAATCAAACGTCATTCACTCGAAAAAATAATACGTCAAAGACCAGTGTTCTTAGTTATTTACGTGGGAAAATTACCCGAAATATGGCCCCTTACTAATAAAAAGTTACACAGTTGTTGAACACTGTTTTAAAATGACATTTCCATACTAAACGTCACTTTAAAACACTGTTCAACGAGCGTGTAAGTTTTATTAGTAAGGGGGTAAGTATTTATTTTTAATCGATTTTATAAATGTACAGTCAAAGAATTATTTCATCATAACAGCTATCATTTGCGCATGTCATGGATTATGTTCCCTGTCTGCAACAATTAGTAACTACTACAAACAACTAAAGCCCGGTCGCCGAGTACGTAGAATTTCGTCCAATGACCCATCTTTAGCAACTGTGCAGCATGCGGCCGCAGTGAGTGTGCGAGTGCGACAGCAATACAATTACGCGCGAGTGATAAGGATGGGTTTGTTACTTGAAATGTCAACCTTACGGGAGTAGTAATAAGAGTGTATCGCTGACTTTAGTCCGCGAACTACATTGCCCGCGTGCATTATATCATTAAAAGTATAGTTAACGTTCGAAAATTTGTTGGATTATTGATAAATCTGTTTTAATATATTATCAAATGGCCAATAGATGTATTAAAATTGACGGAGCAATTATTCACACGACGTAATTACGTAAAAATAAGAACTATAATATAGTAAAGGAAAATCTATTGGATTACTGTGAAAAGCTATGTATTTGAACATATAAAAGCGTATTAAAAAATAAAAATAGGCAGAGCAATTTTTCAGTAGAAGTTATAGTGCAAAATGTTAAAAGTTAAATTTCAGGTATCTCTGAAATCGAAAAAGTGTTGGATTCTTTTACATACATATTCTAAGTAGTACATAGGTACGTATACAGAAAGAATTTCAGGCTGAGAATTTTTACACAGAGAGTTATTAACGATTTTCATGTTTAGGTCAAAAAACATAACTTCCCAAAAAAAATTTTGTTGGATTTTTGCATATCTATGATCTATATTACCTACTTTCACCATGTGCCAAGTTTCATTGACGGACGAATTATTCGGATGTCTCCATACAACGAATCTCCTCGTTGATTGGACTAGCAGATATGTACCATCTTAGACTGTATCTTACTTAACACCAGGTGCGATTGCGGTCAAATACCTCCCTTGTTTAAAAAAATCTAATTTTAAATGTTAAAGGCTGATTTTTCAATCGTCAGATAGCTTTTAACTGAAAAATAAAGTTGTAATTTTGACATAATTTCCCATACTGAAAAAAGTACAAATCCAGTAACAAATTTTAAAAGTTGATATATATCATCAAAACCGGCTTGATATATATCGGATATATATCCGATATATATCTTGATATATATCCCTTGATATATATCCTCGAACCCTGGTCAAAATGTCGAATAACTGACGATTTATTCTGAGATCAATTTACGTTTGGTCGAATCCACCCTTAGTCAAAGATAATAATTACCCGATAGCGTGCAAGAAGGATATCTTCAGCCATCGGAAGAAGCGGAACTCGGAGGCGCGGCCGGGCTTGACGGCGGGGTTGGCGGCGCCCACGTACAGCCACAGCACCCACAGGATGAACAGGCAGCCGAGCGCGTACGCCCAGTTCACCAGGAACATCAGCAGAAGCTTGATAGCCACCTAACAAAACATAGTTTGAATAACAATAAATAATAATTTCAGACACTAGCTTTCCGTTTTGCTATATATTTTAAACTATTATGTTGCATTTTTACTATAAAATTATCACTTCACGGGATTTATTGCAGCAATATCTATTTTATACGACGCCGCATCTCTTCAGTCTGCCCGCGACCATGACTCGTGCAACCGAGACGAAACGTCGGGAGGGTAAATATTTTATTTACCGTTAAAATAGATATTGTTGCAACAAATCCCGTGAAGTGATAATTTTACTAGCTTTCCGCCCGCGTGGAATTTTGTCTGTCACAGAAAAACTTTATCGCGCGCGTCCCTGTTCAAAAACCGGGATAAGAACTATCCAGATGTCCTTTCCCGGGACTCAAACTATCTCTATGCCAAATTTCATCGAAATCGGTTCTGTGGTTTAGGCGTGAAAGCAAGATATACAGAGTTACTTTAGCATTTATAATATTAGTATAGATAGAATAGATTAAAACACACTATAGAGAAATATTTAAAAACCAAAACAGTCAGCCTTACATCATAAAAATAAAAACTTTTAATTCTACACATGCAGCCGAACCCGCTACGTGATAAATGGACAGTCAGACAGAATGTCGTTGGAGCTCCCACGCACACGGCTCAGCATAGAGGCTGCCCTTTTCCGTGGCATGGAAGCCATCAGTATGTGCTTCATATGTGTGAATAGGCATCGGTAATTTTATGTATTGGTCGACAGATCCTTTTAGGTTGAAAACTACGGAGCATGGTCTTATTTTAATGTTCGTTCGTTTCAGCCGAAAGATGTCCACTGCTGGACAAAGGCCTCCCTCGTAATGTTTTATGGACTATCGTGCTTCATATAAATGCATTTTATTTTATAACAACACATTAGTTAAGGTTTAGCTTATGACCAGTAAATCTATCTACTATGGAGCAAATTAAAACCAACAGTCCAAAATCCGAATTTTATATCAGACAGATCGTAATCTATGACGCGCATCGGAATTATGGCAATAAAACAATGTTTGTGATTAATTGCGAATTACCATTTTATAAAAGTGTTTGACCGACATACAAAGTATTGCGTTACGTAAAATGCATTCATAACCATTTTTGTAACTCCTTTCACTAGCGCTATTTTTAGGTGATTGATTCTTATACTCACCCCAGCGAGAGAAAGCCATCTGTTGCAAAGATGAGAGTACCAATTCTTGTTTTTAGAATGAACACTGACGCTGGGCCGTCTCACGTCGCCATTCGACTGTCGACCGTTCATTATAGCGGGATCCGTTGGTGATGGAGTGAAGTCCTGTAAAGTGAAGAAAATCTGCTTAGCACTGCTTATTAACCTTAATGAGCAAGTCAAGTACTCTACATGAAGTAGGTACCTCGGTACCTACTACCTACAATGCGTTGAGCGACACGGTGAAAAACGTCATGTATGGCATACGAGCGATAGACCGCGTAACAGTGTTGTTGTTTGTTTAACCAGAAATAGACCGATGATCCGCTAAATGTAACAGACATATGTTTTGAATGCACGTTACTCATAGTTAATTAATTCTCCACGCGAGAAGAAAAATGCGCACGAAAATAAGGACTGTGAGCTTTTTATTGTACAGTTAATCTGTATTACACTTGATGACTTGAATATGGTTTAAAACATGGATTACTCACTCCTACATTCTTATGTCTTATCCTTTCGGGAAACAGTAGATCAAGATCGCTTCCTGTAGCTCCATAGACTTGGGTATCACGTGGTGAACTACCTTGGAATCTGAAATTATTTAAAGATTTTAATAATATTATTCATTCGTCAATCTACTTTGTTATTCAGAATTTATGTTGTAAGTAAAGATGATTATGAATAAAAAGAAAGAAAATCATACCTCATTTCACGTTTATGTTGCAAATCAAACGTCTGGGCGAGAGCAAAATAAGAATAATCGATACTAGCATACGTGATAAGGAAGGGCATTGTTACAATTGGTGCAAGTCGGTTTATGCCTCCAATTATGATGAATGTGATAGTTATTATAGCTACAACTACCATAGCATAAATGGGTACTTTGTTGGGGCCTCTCTGTAAATGAATAAAAAACAAACAATGATTTGGAATTAAAATAAAGTATGGTTGTTAGTTGAAAAACATGGAGAAGTATTTACCCCACGGCCAAGAGCATCTAACCCTGGTATAACTTTCTCGTTGGCAATACTTTGCAGTACTCTTGGCGTGCCATACATTGCACCAAGACATGAGCTCATAGAGCTAACATACAACCCTGCCAGCAGCAGGACCCTTACGGCAGATATGTCAGCAGTAATAGAGAAGGTATTCAATAGTGCTTCACGGGTGACTGTGGCTGCTAATGTTATTATAAACATGAGGTACAGGAAGGTTCTGTGAAAATGAAATAGCAATAAGTTTTATATATTCTCTTTTTAAAATTAATAAAATAAAAAAATATATTTACCCAGTGCCTATAGCTGCCAAGGAGCCATTAGGAATATTGACAGATGGGTTTTTCAAGTCACCACTCATATTGATTCCTGCTAAAATCCCAGTAATTGTTGGGAAGAAAACTCCAAAGCACTTGAACCAAGAGTATCCTGGCTCATAATTTGACCAAGTGTTGTTGGCAATTGAACTGTTGAACCAACCAACAAATTCAGCAGCTGGAAGTTAAAGCTCCATGTTAGTCCATAGCATTTAATGGAAGGTTATAATGATTTCATCTAGGATTGCTCAATGCTCAGAAGTAATATTTAAGTTATTTCACAAAACTAATACACAGTAATGAGAATACATAAGAATAAGTAAACTAATAAACTTACTTGGCATGGTAGTAAAGGAACCAAGGAAAAAGTCAAAGGCTGCCAATAATNAACATCGTAGCTATTATAGTTTTTTTATATTATGAATTTAAATTTTTGGCAGGGGACTGTATTAAAATTTTGGGGACAAAGTTTACAGGAGTTTACTAAATAAATAAAATTGGTAATGAGAGCTTGTTTTACGAAAATAATATAATTTTATTATTATTCTTTATGCTATGAGCTGCCAGATGTATGTAGTTTCAATATCTTCTTCGTAAATCTCATTTCTAGGCGGAAATGTAGTGATGGGGACAGCCAGGGGACTGTATTTTTCGGGCTTCAATCGAGTCTAGAAAAAAACTAAAAATAGTTATGGTTCTAAAAACAAAGGGCCCGTAAAGTTTTGGGATTAAAGTTTCATTACAAGTGTGTTTCGTTTAAATATTTTAATTGCTTTTTGAAAAAATCGGCCGGGACAGCCGATTACGAGCTTACAGAGAATCGCCCTTATATATTCTCTTTTTAAAATTAATAAAATAAAAAAATATATTTACCCAGTGCCTATAGCTGCCAAGGAGCCATTAGGAATATTGACAGATGGGTTTTTCAAGTCACCACTCATATTGATTCCTGCTAAAATCCCAGTAATTGTTGGGAAGAAAACTCCAAAGCACTTGAACCAAGAGTATCCTGGCTCATAATTTGACCAAGTGTTGTTGGCAATTGAACTGTTGAACCAACCAACAAATTCAGCAGCTGGAAGTTAAAGCTCCATGTTAGTCCATAGCATTTAATGGAAGGTTATAATGATTTCATCCAGGATTGCTCAATGCTCAGAAGTAATATTTAAGTTATTTCACAAAACTAATACACAGTAATGAGAATACATAAGAATAAGTAAACTAATAAACTTACTTGGCATGGTAGTAAAGGAACCAAGGAAAAAGTCAAAGGCTGCCAACAATATGACTAGAAGAAGAACAAACTGCAGCTTTATCACCCACTTCACTCCAGCAACATTGATTGTGCCCAACAGAAGCACTGCGGCAATGGCAAAGCCCTGCGCTGCCCATGTGTTGTTCAGGTTGACAAGATCAGCCATTGACTCCCCAAAACCAACAACATTCAGAGCACATCCCACTGCCTGAAATTAATTTTCAAATAAAAACTTATATATTTTGTTGTTAAACAGTAGGAACATTGATATAGATACATATTTGTACTTGTTATGAATGATTCAATCATGCTTTTGCTGTACAAGAAAGATACTACATATAGTTTTAAAAAGTACTACCTGTCCAAAGCAGTACACAATGCCAAGAGATCCACCCATTCGGGAGCCCAATGTGTGTGCTAGAATGAAGTACACTCCCCCACTTTCTATTCTGCATCGTTCGCATATTCCCACAGCTGACAGCACTGAGATCAAGGCAACAAATACTAGAAAAGAAATAGTAAATTTAGTAGATAATTGTTGAAATAGTTAATAATTTAGGATAAAATAGAAAAAAATACCTGTAAATATTACTATAAAAACTGCATTAACTACACCAGCTTGACCTACAATCCAACCGGATCTTAGAAATACGATTACTCCAAAAATATTTATAAGGCATGATGTGAACACTCCGTCCCAGGTCCCAAATAGCACTGGTTGTGATATGAAAAAGTTGGATTTCCACCAAGGAACATCTCCCTGCAAGTAATTTATTTAAGTAGAATCCATAGGCTATTGCTATAATTGAAGCTTATTATCTATTGTGTATACTCAGTTATCAGCTACCTGTATATCAGCAAATATTTCATTTGCTCCAGAGGCTTGGTGTCCGCCTGTTCCATATTGTGATTCATTCCCGAAGTCTACAAATCCACCAGATTGTCGTCTCATTCGAGCCCTATCAAAACCCGGTTCATCACTTCGAAAACTATCTATATCTAGATCATTTCTTCTAGAACGATTATTCTGATCCATTTTAATCTAAGTTACTACGATAACATAATGTATTAATCTCAATCAAAATAATTTAGCGCAACATCGCAATCATCATCAGACAGAATTTACAAAATGTCATTAATGTCAATGTCAGCCAGCAGNAAAAAAAAAAAAAAAAAAAGGTTACATTTTTTTTAGTTTTATTAAAAAAGTACCTATAGTTCCAAAATACTGGACTGTCCTGTCGATGACATTGACAGTGGGGCGCCACCGTCAATACCGGATCGCTGGTTCAGATTTTTGCCATGTTGGAAACCATATAGTTGAACGATGGTAGCGCCCCCCTGTCATTGAGTTTGGCGGGACAGTTCAGCGTGGGTCATCTATACCTCAACCTACCTACCACAGATGAGAGAGAGAGAGTATGTCTAAAGCTACCTACATTGAAGTTAGTTTAGAAAAGTACTTTTACGTGTGTTTTATTTAACAATTACTTTTTTACGGGTGCGAATTTCAGAAAAGCTTAATAAATATTTTTCTTATGATCGATGGAAAAAATAGGTGGGTAAGTACCTACTCTTACTTTATCTAATATGCCAGTCAACCAATTTTAATTTTAAGGTCACGCAGAATATGGCTTATTGTCGATCGATAGATAGTTTGGTCGGCTGCTAATTTGTATGCGGAATCGGCCAATAACTAAATAAGGTACTACCAAACGGTGTAATGTGTGCCCTTTCTTTCATTCATACTGAAGTATCGGTTAACAAAAAGCTCAGTCTGCGCGGAGTCTAACTAAAAGTAGATAGGTAACTACACCTACAAGTTCGTAGCCTCCACATAGCGACACACTGCATATGCTTTTTGTGTATTTCATTGATCACCTATTAAGCTATTTATAATAAAATGATATCGTTTTCCTAATACTAGCGGTGCAGCATTATTACATAAAAAAACAATTGGAAAAGTGCTGTGATAGAGCGAGCGCGAAAAACTTAACATTTCTACTTATTCGTAGCAATGACGTAACTTACCTAACTTCGTGAAAATTCACTATGAGAAGTGAAAGGGAAAATTATTATGGTTAGGTTTTTCACTCTTCCTGCGAGTTTACATACCAAAGTATTTTATTATTTGCTAAAACTTGATATACAATTATTTGGATAGGGTCCTACTTATTACATAGGTATTATGATACTTATTTGCAATTATTTTTTCTTACGATTTTGGAATTATTTATGCTCAAGAGAAAAATATCTTCAATTATTAAAAACAAAGCATTTGAGCAAAATTAGAATTGTACAAAACAGTAAAATAGTATTGTAAATTACCTAAAACGGTTTAAACAAAATGATCCAAAAAGCGTTTTTATGGAAATGGTTTTCCAAACATAACATAACAAAACATAAGTATTGTCTACACAAAATAATAACTATTTAACATAAAATTAAAATATTTTGACTTAATTATTTACTTAATATGATGATTTAAGCACCTGCCTAAACTTAGCCTAATTTAGTCTATTTATTTCGTCTGCAAAAGTTTTTGCAAGTAGGCCTGAACGTAAATTTATGTAGTAGACAGACTGAGGTAATTCTAAAGTAGAAACTACTATAAATTAGAAGTAATTTACGATTTAATTTATTATATGAGAGTAAGTAATTCAAAGCTAAATGTTTTATGACGTAAATTAAATTAATTATGTACTTAGTTTAATGCTCGTTTACTTTCATGCCTGATTTTGTTTTTAGAGAAAATAATTTTAAGTAATGTTTTTACAAGAAAATATTTTACCGGAATATCAAATTTCGTTTACGTTTTTGTACTATGTACAAAAGCTTTCGCTTAGTAAAGCGATTTGTCCTTGACCGGAAAGTAGGTCAGCCAAAGGAGATATTATTTTCATGTTCACATTATGGCTACAGCCTACAGGTTTCGGTACTTTAGTTTACCTTTTTATTGAATTATGCTTTCTTAGTATTATTTTATTAGGTAACTTTATTGACATGTTGAATTGTTGAACTCTACACAATATTTGATGAGGGGTATATTTAAAGATTATTTAGCTAAATATCTTCATCGAGGGAAATCACTTTGGCCCACTGGCCGCTCTTAGGGTGCAGCTGACTGGCACTCTGGGTTGAATAGTAAATGGCCAATGGTTTGAGGTTTCGTACACCCACATGTTAAGCCGGAGCCATCTGTAACACCCTTATAAATGGTTAGAAATACACTTACTTTTATTTCATCAAACCCTTAGCCTTAATTTGATGGGACAACAAGACTTATTTCTCGAAACTGATGCATCAGGCATATGACTTTTGACCTCGTGCGTCCCAGACTAAAAAAAGCTCCTAGAAATACTATCTACTTAGGTTAATATCTAAAAATAAAATAAACAAGTACAGGTAAATAAATATTGTAAATGTAGGAATTGAAATGATCAGGTGAGATACAGGCCAAGAGCTTCCTCGTTGTTGATAAAAAAAAAAAAAAAAAAAAAAACTTTTATTAAAAAAAAAATATTTTTGTAGCAGCACAGATCATAGTCGGAACACCTCACTACTAACAGTTTTTTTAAAAATAATCACACATTTTATGAGGTAAGTAAGTGTGCTTCACTTCACATCAAATAGAAATTAACAATAAATTTCAGTCGCTTAAAAATAATTTAGGAAAGTTAGTGGGTTTTTCTAAACATTTGTAAGATTTTTGCAAATATTGCAATTTTCATTTTAAATGTTAGTGAAGTAGTTTTAAATGAATTAAAAAAAGTTTTTTTGTGGTAAAATAATAAAATGTATCCCTTACAAAAGATAGATATTGGACAGTAAATTCCCATGGCCCTTAAAATTAACGAGAACATCCAAAGAGTTTCAAAGGGATTTAATCTGAGAATAAATTAAAAAGCTTTTCAGAATGCAGGTAGGCGCGGACGGGTAATTGGTTAGTAATAGGTCGTCGAGCAGGCTTGCGGATCCGGGCGCTATCTTAATCGTCCAGCGTTTAAGCATATTTATGTAGCAATAAGTTATCAGAGGCCTAATTACGGCTGCGAAACCACCTGTCCGCTATCATTTGTACATAGGCCTTCGCATATACTTCCGTGCATCTTACGCGCGGGCCCTCCCCCGACCCGCGATTGGCTGGAGCGGGCGGTGCGCGCGCAGCGGCCCACCTCGCCGCCGAGTGTGAGATGCTGCGACTCCGGAGGAGCCGGACGCCGCGATGTGCATCGCCGCCAGTGTCGCCCGTACACGCCGCCGCTCAGCACCCACCCGCGACGCCGCGCACGACTCACAAAGCACGACACTCCACGTGCGTCATCATACAAACTCTCAAAAGTATTCCCAAGTTACTTTCTTAGATGATTCCGAACCAAATAACAACTTTAGCAAAACTTTTGCATTGAGTTTCGTAGTGGTAGTAAAGTAGAGACGTAGTTGGTGATGTGATATGGCTAAGCGGCGAGAGCTGAAGCGCTGTGGAAGGCAGAGCGCGGGCGCGCTGGTGGTGGCCGGGTGCGCGTGGGCATGCGCGCTGATCGCCGCCGCCGCCGCCGATGCTCATGCTGACGTTGACACCTCAACCGGGCTCGGAGACAATACACTTACCAACTCAGGTAAGTAACTTTTTATCATATTATGCAGCAGCAGTTTCGGTAAGGAAACTCTAACTAATTATTTTCCAACGGGAAAAAGATACCGATGGGTAAAATAATTCGGTCAACGTTCAAAAAGCCTAGGTATTTATTGTAGGTACGGGACGGTTATATTTAAATTTTTCTTTATTTGTTTACCAAAAATGTATACACTAATATGATAAAGGTTTAACATCCATAAACATAGTGATGTAAAATATGACGAGAAATCGTATTATCGTTTTTGTTTACCCAATAATTGGGTAATTATTACCAACTGGCTTGAGTTCAAAGTTTACGTGACGTGTTCAGTCTGAATGGTGTTGTCTCAAATGCACACTCATGTATTTAACTTTATAGGATAGTAGGTTAAAATTAAATATTTTTGGTTGTAACCGTGGAAAGTGGATAAAAGATTACCTAATCCTAAAAATAAAATCAAAAATTTCACATTGTGTTTGGGCACTTGTGGGTTACAGCCAAGTTTATTATATTACCTACTATTGAATGTGGACATTAATTAAAGTTATGGATATTGTAGTCTTGTGATCCCAAAGGGGACGCGTTATGGAAATAGGAAGATTACTAATAAATTACTAGGGTGCAGTATGGAAAGAAATTACTATTACTTAGGTACAAAAAAGTTGCATTTTACACATTATAAAAATACATGGAGAATAATCCTATTAATGACTAATCCACTGAAAGGAAAAATTTAAATATTTTTAGAAATGATTGCGAAAGTTACTTTTAATATTTCAGGAATTTTCCTTTTTTGTGTCGAATTGGACACTATCTTTAAGAAATGAAGATTGTTACAAAGTAACAATTTGTATATTACTTATGTTTTAGTAAATCATGTGATCTAATAACGTGTATCTAAGAATACTAGTTAATAGTTTTTAAACATTATATAAATAATAATATATTAAATTACCTAAGTATGTGCTTATGATACCTAAATTATGTAAGTAGATCTTCTTGTTGATTGATGTAGGTAGATAATATAGGTAGTTGATAATTTTATTTATTTACTAGCTTTCCGCCCGCGTGGAATTTGTCTGTCACAGAAAAACTTTATCGCGCGCGTCCCTGTTTCAAAAACCGGGATAAAAACTATCCTATGTCCTTTCCCGGGACTCAAACTATCTCTATGTCAAATTTGATCAAAATCGGTTTAGGCGTGAAGGTAAGACAGACAGACAAAGTTACTTTCGCATTTATAATATTACTATAGATTAAAATTTTCTGGCGTTAAGAAGTACGAACCTTAGGCAATTCGATTTTTTTAAGTCATTAAAAAATATTTATTTTCGGAGTTTGGTTATTTACGGGATTAATCAATCAAATTATGTTCACATTGATGAGGTCAATCAATATAATTGATAGACAACAAGATAGTTGATTTATTTGAGCAGGAAAAACCACATTTTATTTAATGGTTTATCTTACCAGATTTAGGCTTTTTAATTTTAATTTTTACTACTTACTTGATAATTTTAGAAGTATAATTATTTTTCTCTGTGTTAACGTTGTTATAATATAACTAATAACAATAATAATAACACAGTGCTCGAACTTTTAATGCGTATAACTTTTTACCATAGGATGATTTCGTAATCAATAATAACAATAAATTAAAAAAAAATCAGATTAATATTTTCATATCAAGCGTTGTGATTGTTCAATTGTTGTATTTTCATAATTACTTATACGAGTATGTACTAGGATTTATTTTTACTAATGTATAGAAAGTATCTATAAAATGACACATTTACAAGAATATTGTTAATTTTCGACTTTTGGAAAACGGGTACTATTGCTCTTGCGGTAGGTACTTTTATTTTAATTAAGTTGTGAAATGTGGGGGCAATATTTCCTGTTCGGTTTGGTTGGTGGTAGCCTTGGGTTTCTTCTCAAGTCCACCTGGCTATCTACTTCCATCTTACCTAAGTTTGTCGCCATAACAACATTGTTAACTGCTTTGCTGTGCTCCGGCAATTAGAGTTAAGATAGTGGTTGAGGATTCTGGGTGAAGCTCGGTTCCACCTTCAGCCTGATCATCACTTTCCATCAGGCGAGATGCAGGCCAAGAGTTTACTCCTGGTGGATAAAAAAATATATTATAATAATTTTAAATTACAGTAATAAAGTAACAAAAGTAAAACATCATTCTGTGGTCAAGACGACGTCATTTTTACTTTATCGGCACTAAATATTCAAGCCCTGTTGATAATACTGTACAATCACTAAATTATAATGAATGACTTTGAAGTTAAGAAAACACGTTAAAATACGTTAGTAAAATGATTAAAAATATTATCAGGCTTACTTTTTTTTTCAGGCGGGAATTGTAGAGACAATAAACCATGAAGTACGTACTCAACTGTTAAGATCAGCACTACGAAATAACCTTGATTTAAGTTGTAAATAATACATAAATACATGCATTGCGTATGTCCTTCTGGACATTCATCATCAAAGATTAAAAAAGAAAGAAAATAATTTTATACTAGCGGCCGCCCGCGACTTCGTACGCGTGGATCCCGTTTTACCCCCTTCATCTATCTTACGCGGTTTAGATTTTTTCATACAAATGTTTTTTCCCGCTAACTCCCGTTCCCGTTGGAATTTCGCAATATCCTGTTGTAACTAAGCTTTAAGTTTACTAAGGGACCTGCATGCCAAATTTCAAGCGTCTAACTTAAGCGGTTTAGATTTTTCATACAAAAGGATTTTCCCGGTAATTCCTGTTCCTGTGGGAATTTCGGGAATTCCTTCCTTTGTGCACCTCTACGGTACCTAAGCTACGTCCCTTATAAATTTCAAGTGCCTACGTTTAGCCGTTTAGGCTGTGCGTGGGTATGTCAGTGAGTCAGTCATACAAAAGGAATTTCCCGCTAATTCCAGTTCCCGTGGGAATTTTGCAATATCCTGTAGTAACTAAGCTTTAAGTTTACTAAGGTACCTGCATGCCAAATTTTAAGCGTCTTACTTACGCGGTTTAGATTTTTTCATACAAATGTTTTTTCCCGCTAACTCCCGTTCCCGTGAGAATTTTGCAATATCCTGTTATAACTAAGCTTTAAGTTTACTAAGGTACCTGCATGCCAAATTTTAAGCGTCTAACTTACGCGGTTTAGATTTTTTCATACAAATGTTTTTTCCCGCTAACTCCCGTTTCCGTGGGAATTTTGCAATATCCTGTTGTAACTAAGTTTTAAGTTTACTAAGGTACCTGCATGCCAAATTTCAAGCGTCTAACTTAAGCGGTTTAGATTTTTCATACAAAAGGATTTTCCCGCTAATGCCCGTTCCCGTGGGAATTCCTAAGTATCCTATAACCTGCCCAGGAGTATGAAGAATAATTGTACCAAGTTTCGTTAAAATCCGTCGAGCAGTTTTTGTTTCTATAAGGAACATACAGACAGACATACAGACAGACAAAAATTTTACTGATTGAATTTTTTGCATCAGTATCGATCACTAATCACCCCCTGATAGTTATTTTGAAAATATATTTCATGTACAGAATTGACCTCTCTACAGATTTATTATAAGTATAGATATGTAGATTATGAAGCAATGTTTAATACCTCTTTCTAAAATCTTACATAATAATACCTAAATATAGGTATATGGCGGAAGAAAGTGCATGCATTTATAGTCTCATTTTTTAGGAACGACTTATGCAATTTTGTGTGTAGATTGGAATCATTATTATAGCTATAAATAGTGTAGTGCAACAATACTAAAGAAGATAACCTTTCAGTTGTCAGATGACTGCTTTTATTATTGAGAGAGATAAATATTATTATATCGGTTACTCTGTCAAGCTATTCTTAAATGCTTGATGGATTATTGGAATATTTCATCACGGTGGACCCGTGTCATCTGAACATACTTAATTTATTTTTAACAAGCAGTTTGGAAACGAATATAACAGTCGGTTTTAAATGATTTGATTGTATTTTTCATGCTATTGGAAAATCAGACTGCCTTAGACCGTTTTGAATTAAAAAAAATCGCTCTCTGGGTTACTAATGTTACTGAGCTACCAAGAAGACAGAGGTTATATACCATGTCGATCTTAAAGGTGACAGTTTACAAAATTCATAACTCTGACACCACAATCGCTTTTTAAATTGTTTTCCAATGTTTGTGAGAAACAATTTTCTAAAAAACAAAAACTACCTACTTATTTCCTCAGTATTAAAAGAGTTTACCTATGGCTTTAAATTAGTGTCAAGAGGTGTCAATGGCTTCTCCCTAAAATACCATCTCTATGTTTCAGAATGATCAATTTACATTATACCACTATGTACTTAAATTCCATAAATTAAATCGAGTATCAAAATAAAATTACAGTGTTATCAAAATATTTAGCTTATTAATGAAAGAATATCTTAATGAAAGCGAAGCTAGGCCTTCATTTCTCTTCGTTATTTATATTATTATGAGTGGCGGGTGGGCGGTGACGAAATAGAACAACACCTACTTACTTACGTATTTATTGTACGTAAGTAACTCAAGATGGAACACAAATATCTCCTGATAATACTGTTGAGGGAGAAACTAATCTTACCTGTCTGTGTATACTCTTTGATCTGATACAATAAACATCACACACCAAGAAGTCAGCTTCCATTAACCTCGCTTAGAACACATTAATGGAGGTTACTTATTGAGTTGTGTCTTATAATAAAAAAGATTTTCATAATGTGGTAATTGAGAATTTACACATGTGAATATGAAAATAAAATGAATAAGTAAAAAGCCGACATCAAAATAAGTTTAAAGTGTTCAAGTGGCTCTACTAGCATAATGAACATAAAATGAACATAAAATGAACATAAAATGATACACACCAGAAGGATTTATTAAATAAGTTAGCTATGTCCATTAATGATCATCGAGTGGATCAATACAGATGCTAAAGCTTTATAAAAAATCAAATCCATCACTACAGTAAGTATTAGTAG